AATAGTTACATCATATATGACGTATATGTGTGACGTATATACTGACGTCATTGTTATGACGTTCAAAATAACGTCAGATTTAGGTCATAATCACCAATTAGTGACAAAAATCACGTATATTTACGTCATTACAACGTCAGCTGGTTGCTTGGGGAGATATTTCCTCTTTTTGATTGTAACAAGTCATCAAACATTTTGCGAAAAAAGGCATATCAACTAAAAGGGATGTCATGCTCTCCAAAATATAGTTGATTACATTTTTTTCATATTGATATTGTAATGACATATTTTTGTCTTCTTGTGTATTTTTATCATTTTCAGCTTTTGTTTCTTAGCTTTCACATAATTTAAACATTCATCTTGATACACAGGTGGATGTGTTCTTTTCAAATGAGAAATAAAATTAGAAGATGAACCTTTAATTCTTTTTTCGGAAGTGCACAATTTGCATATTCCTGTAACAGATCCAGTCAGGGATGAATTTTCAAAATCTAATTCAAAATATTGGCCGTCAAGATATGGCGTTTTCTAACATTTACTCCTCAAGATTGTCAACTCATCGACGTTTTCTGTAGTTGTAGAACTAGATGCATTCAAACCCAAAGAATCGATATGTGCATCTATGTTACTAATAGACTCTTCTTCAATAGCAATTGGAGAAGGAGTGCGATTATCCATTATATATATTCCAAAGTATTTACTCCCGAAAAAATCTATGTTCAAATAAAATCAATAAAATCTCCAATTGTAATTATAGCATAAATTATTCTTCTCAAAACGTACTTGGACAAAAAACACACTAATTACAGCAAGCGAGAAATTATAGAAATATTTTGCTTACAATTGTAAGTGAACGAACAAGAAGCGTCTTTAGCAAACTGCGGAATATTCAAAACTAAAGCGTTTACGATATCGTATCGATTCGATAGAAGCGTCTTCGAAATTCGATCATATAAGTAACGTAAACAGGACCACGAAGTATTTATGAAAAATTAGAAACATAGCATAGAACGATATTATGAACAAAAATTACAAATTAATTTATAGTCGTTATTCAGAATTTATGGAATAAATAGAAATAGTAATAATTTTATTTGTTTGTTTTGTTATTGACAATGAATTGAATAACAAAATAACTTTTTATTTTTTATACGCAACAGAGTTGGGCGTATTTTCGAATTATTCTAATAATGAATAATGATTAACAAATAAATTTTTAAAATATATTCGCAAGTACTCCCTGGCCGAGGAGTATTTTTTCGCAATATTTTAAAATTAGTTAGTGGTATATTCGGGGTCTATCATATATGTGATGCAAATATAGCATCCTATTATGATTTTAAGAATTGAA